GGAGGAAATGACAGTGCCCATGGTGACAGCTGAGGTGTGCTGCTGAGGGGTGTGTGATATACATTAACTGTGAGAGTGCTGATCAAGACAACTACTTCCTTCTACCACTCCATCACAGATGTTTCTTCCCAAAGCACTGAGAATAGTAGAAATTCCCCCCACTCCCACCAAAGTCTGAAGACCTAGGTGCTGAATCTGGAAGAAGAAAGTGATTACCAACAGAGTTCTTCATAGTCCATAGCCCTACACGTATAGGTACATGCCTTGTTTCCAATGTAAGATGTGATCTCCAAACCTATCTGGTCTCCCAGGCTGGTCTGAGAGAAGGAAGTGATGCTGAGCAGACCACCTGTGAGATGCTCAGGAAGGGAAGGAGCAGACACAAAAGAGCCTACCTTTTTAGGGGGTGGGCAGCAGGGCTGCTGGGACCCTTACCTTTGGGATTTCAGGTCTCAGTTATTTACTAACTGACACCTTTAAAAAAATACAAATTAAACTGTATTTCTTCTCTTTAATACCTCTATTTTTTTAAACTAGGGTTTGAACTCAGGGCCTACATCTTGAGCCACTCCACCAACCCTTTTTTCATGATGAGTTTGTGGGGTTTTTTTGAGATAGGGTCTTGGGAACTGTTTGCCAGGCTGGCTTCCAACCGTGGTCCTCCTGATCTCTGCCTCCTGAGTAGCTACGATTACAGGCATGAGCCACCCGTTCCAGGCTTAATACCTCTATTTCTTCAGCTGGCTCTTTCTGCATTCTTCTCCTCCATTCTCAATCCACCAAGTTGAGAGTGGTCACCTCCCTAATGCTGAATCTTTGCACCCACAGAGTAGAAAGTTGAGGTGATGCTAGGCCTCTGGCCCCTTGTTTTGTTCCGCCAGTCTTTAAGGCACCTTGTATTTTAACCCACCCCTATCTTTGTGTCTCAATATTTCCACCTTTCAGGATCTTTTTAAAATTTGCCTCCCTACTTTTTTGGGGGGGCGTCGTTGTTCCTGTTGGGCTCTTCCCTCTGGGAATACCCCACTGAGTATTGTGCAGAGAGGGTAAGCTTTCTTTCTTGCCCCCATACAGATGCAATTGAGAACCCAAGGATGGCCAGGTCATGTTAGGGCTGGGGCACACCAGGGTCGCTTCTCATTCTGGGCACAGGTACCTGGTCGATGCCCTGTTGTTCATCCCCCTCCAAACGGCCCTCCTCTTGGCCCCCGCCCCCTCCTCCCGCCTGGAAAAGGCAAATTTGACATTTTTAAATCCCGAGCCTTAGAGGGATCGATGCGGCCCGAGCGCCCCGCCCGGGGTCGATATTCCTGATTGGGAAGCGGCCGCTGCGCGGAGCCCGTGTGTAAATCACCCGGGCCGGGGGAGGGGGCGCGGGGAGCCTACCGCGTCCCAGGCGCGCGGAGCCAGGGCGGGGTTAGGGCCCGGGCAGGACCCAAGGGTGACGAAATGAGAATGGCAGGGTTTAGAGAAGCAGAGAGAAATCCGCCTAGAGTTTCTCCCCTCCCCTGTCTAGCCCTGCCAACTCCCCCGGCCGGCTCTGGTCTCGCTTCAGCAGCCGCCACCCTCCGTTGCCCTTGCAGCCGCCGGGGAGGCCGGTGTCGGAGCCAGCGATGCGGCGGCTCCTCTCTGGCCGCTCCCGCGGGGCTCTGGCTTCCGCGGCGGCTGTCACGGAGCCGACAGGCCTGGACGGCGGGGAAGAGGCGGGTGGTGGAGGGAAAAGCTGCAGAGGAGGCTGGCATAGATCTAGAACTTAGTGGGCGCGCAACAGATGTTTGCAGAACTTTGGGACAGCAAGGTGGCCTGGGACAGCAAGGGGCATGGGACCGGGGACGGGAAGGTGTGGACAGATTAGAAGGCGACCCAGACTTAGTGGGGACTGGAGGCTGGCAGACCTGCCAGGGTGAGCAGGCATTCCAGAGCACAGGGGAAGATCTAGCTAGTGAAGAAAAGGAATAGGGTGGTCAGGGAAGTTCGGGCCATATCTAGTTACCGCCTCTGTCGCCCCTGGTATACTACCCTACAATGTTCATTCCAGTGTGCTCTGCTGGGGAAACCGAGGCAGCCGAGGTCGAGAAGGGCCTGGAAGGTGAAAAGCGGATCAGTGTTGATTTTTTGGGTGGCAACCAGAATTCCCGCATGGGTCTCTGTATGACCAGGCCAGTTGAGGGTAAATACACCACCATGCCCCACACCGCGGTTCAGACCCTCCCTCCCGCATCAGCTTGTCAGATCTCTCACCTTCCACCCCGCGCCAGTTTACAGAACAACAATTTGGGGAAAACAATCCCGGCCCAGTGACGGCCCCGTAATTGTGACAAAGTGAGTGCGGGCGGCTGTAGAGAGCGCTAGGGCGGGAGCTCAGCGGGGCGAGGCGCAGGCAGGGGCTCCTTGCGCCCGCCTCGCCGCCCCCTAGTTCTCATTCTGGTCACCTCCCATCCCTCTCCTTGACTCTTCTCCAATTCCTCTCCACCCGGCCCCTAGCGCCTTTCTTCGCTTGTTCCTCCATCGCTCTTCCCTTTCCTCTAGGTAACAGCTCTTCTCCCGCTCCTCACCCTCCGCTGCCCCTCCCCCGGTAAGCTTTTTCCTCGCTCACTTCTCCCTCTCTCCACTCGTTTTTCCATCTTTTCCTCCCGCTTACATTTCCCTGGGGCCCCAGGCTCTCTCCGCACAATCCGCTTCTCTCCCTCCCTAGTCCTTGCTTCCTGAAACGAGCCTGGAGCCCTGTCCCTCCCTCTTTCTGGGAGACCAGCCCAGACCCGCACTCCTGGGTTCCCTGGGCCGCGGAGCTAGCTGCGCCCTGGAAGCCCAGGCTGCCTGCATGTTTCTTCCCCCTTCCACCCCTGTAGTTCCCACCCCGCTCCCCGAGCTCAGAGCTAGTTTGTTTGTCCAGCGGCTGCCGCTGCTGCCCGCACTGTTTGCCAAGCTTAGCGCGCCGCCGCGTAGTGCAGGCCCAATTAAGTCTCATTTATTATTCAGCACCCCTGTCCGCCCCTGCCCCCAGCCCGCGGCTGGGTAGTTGCTCCGCTGCCCCTCCCAGTCGAGGCCCCTCTGCAAGCCCTAAGGGGCCATTTCAGGAGCTGCATTCCACCCCTCTCCCCCCACCCCACCCCCCTGCCACCCCCTGAGGGATAAGAACTGAGGGACAGGGTGTTTGGGAAGGGGGCACAAACACGCTGCCTACTGCTGGGAGGCGACCCAGGCCCACTTAACCCTCAAGTCAAGACTGGGAGATCTTGGAGATCAAGCCTCTCCTTTACAAAGAAGGCCATTGAGGTCCAAGAAGTGGCATGCTTTGGCCAAGGTCACGGAGCTGAATCCAGGATTGGAGCCCGGGACCTTGAAACGAAGGATTCTTATATCTCAGCTCCACTTCAGCGCGGAAGCAGGAGGAAGGACAATGCCTGTCTTCCCTGTGGCCTCGCTCTCCTGGTGGGATGCTCCCACCCTTTAACCCCTTTTGCTCCATGTTGTTTCTCCTTTGTCCATGACTGGCGGGACAGAGTAGCTCTCAGTAGATCCTGAGGCAGAGCAGTGAGGGATATTGGGGAAGGGGTGTCCATCCCTGTAGCCCATCGTTTGGTGTCTCTGCCTTAGAGGAATTGGAAGTAGAATCATCCAAAGCACTCTCGAAGGGCAACGAAGTATGGCGACCTGAAGTGAGCGAGGGGTCAACTCCCATTTGAGGCAGTGAAAAAGGCAAACATTGGCTTGCTGTTTTAGCGCTATAGATGAGACCGCCTCTTTGCTCCCGCGAGGCAGTGGGAGCCTCGGTAGGTTCGGCTCTGGGTTGGGGTGCCCCGGCCTTGCCACAAGGTGAGGCTGGGACGCTCCCAGACCTTCCCTTCCGTAAGCGACAGCGCCACCTGGCGGCCATGATGGCGAGCTGCAGGAGGCGCGCTCAGCCTGGAGTGGGGCGCGGCACCAGACCCTAGAAGTCTGGGTGAGCTTGGAAAGCCTTCCAGGAAGTTTACCGGAGAGGGGAGACGGGAGATAGGGGTGCGAGGAGGGAAGGTGATCCCCAGGAGGCTGGCGAGGGCCTTGGGGAGGAGCCTGGCCAAGGCAGCTTGACTTCCATGACACAGCAGTTACAGAGAGACAAAGTCCACTTGGATGGAAGTGGGAGCAGAGTGAGAGGGGCCATTTTGATTCTGTGGTCAAAGGAAATGACTGGTCTGACGCCAGGGCAGCCAGGTACTGTTGTTCCACCTGGGACTGGCCGGGGGTGGGTGAGGCCCACTCAGCTCAGAGTAGGGGGGACAGACTGGCAGGCACACTTGGGCATCTGGTTTGATAATTCTGAGGATATGTACAGCGTTTTTGGAGGGGCTTTCCAAGCTGTCTTGGAAGGAAGTGATTGAGCTAGGGGTGCTAAAGTCTAAGTCAAAATGTTTTCCAGAATGTTTAAGGGCAGGGAATTCAGAACTCCTTCCAAGTTTGAATTGTGGGAAAACTTCATATAGAGAAATGAGAAGGCTGGAGTGGGGCTAAAACCTGGGCCAGGTAACTAACAGCAGCCATGGAAAAAGGTGCGTGGGTGGGAGGGTGGGGGATGATATACAGGCTTTCAAAATGTATGGGAACTTTGGAAAGGCATCCTATTCAGCCTTTTCCCTCCATATTCCCCTCCACCCATGAGTCATTACCATTGTAGTGGTCTGAGGAAGGTCTGAAATTTAAGCCTCTGCTTTTTTGTCCGTGATCTGAACTCTCAGTTTCTCAACTGGAAGCATTTAAAACATTCTCTTCACCTAAATTTGGAGTCACTATGCTTGTAAAGAACATGACTGAGGTGCTGGAACAAAGGGTATGGGACAACTAGCACTTCAGAGACACTCAGGCAGAAGTGGACTTGACTTTTATTGGAAGGAGAAATGGCTACTGTGTTGGAGCCTGGATATAGTCTTATGATTCTGCTTTTTTTCCATCTCTTAGAGTCTAAGGATAACTCCTGGGACTATGGTGGCCATGATTTGCACAGAGGACCCTGAGATTTCTGCACTTTGAGCAATGTCAGATGCCACTGGACTTGTTCTGAAACTCTTATCCTAGAGGATGGCCAAGGGGCTCCTGGTGACCTATGTCCTTTGGGTTATAGGGGGCCCAGCTGGGCTCCACCACCTGTACTTGGGAAGGGACAGTCATGCCCTGCTCTGGATGCTTACCCTGGGGGGGGGTGGACTGGGCTGGCTATGGGAGTTCTGGAAGCTTCCAAGCTTTGTAGCTCAAGCCAACAGAGCCCAGGAGTGGAAGCAGAGCCCAAGAGAGGGCATACCTCCTCTGAGTCCCATTCGTTTTACTGCTCAGATGATCGTGGGCATCTACTTTGGCCTCATGGCTCTGATTAGCCTTTCTTCCATGGCCAACTTCTATATTGTGGGCCTCCCACTGGCAGTTGGCTTAGGGGTCTTGCTGGTGGCTGCTGTTGGCAATCAGACCTCAGACTTTAAGAATACTCTTGGAGTGGCATTCCTTACTTCCCCTATCTTCTATGGCCGACCCATAGCCATCCTGCCCATCAGCTTGGCTGCCAGTATCACAGCCCAGAAGCATCGCCGCTATAAAGCTTCAGTGGAGTCAGAGACGCTCAGTGTGCGGCTCTACAGGCTGGGCTTAGCTTACCTGGCGTTCACAGGCCCACTGGCATACAGTGCCCTGTGCAACACAGCTGCCACCCTCAGTTATGTGGCAGAAACTCTTGGCTCCTTCTTGAGTTGGTTTAGCTTTTTCCCCCTTCTTGGCCACCTCATGGAGTCTGTCCTCCTTCTGCCTTATCGGATTTGGTGTCTATTGGTCGGAGATCCTGGCTTCAACAGCAGCTATTTCCAGGAGTGGGAGAAGCTCTATGAGTTTGTTCACAGTTTTCAGGATGAGAAGCGTCAGCTGGCGTACCAAGTAAGGCTTTCTTCCTCTCTGGGGACAAGCTTCTCTGGGGCTTTCTTCTGTCTGGACTCTGGGAGTTGGAGTAAGCCTTGTTGGAGCTGGTGCCCCACACATGGAAGTACTGTTCTCAGGGTGTTCTGGCATCTTTGGGCACTTCTGTGCTCAGTGGGTAAAGAAAGGTACAAGCACACTAACAGTGAGTGGGAGAAATGTATGTGTATATTATTTACTTTTTAATTTTATTATTCTTACTGTTATTTTTTGGTGGGATTGGGGTTTGAACTCAAGGCTTCACATTTGCAAAGCAGGTGCTCTTTACTGCTTGAGCCACACCTCCAGTCCATTTTGCTCTAGTTATTTCGGAGATGAGGTCTTGTGAACTATTTGTGAGCTGTTTGTCCAGGGAGCCTTTGAACCTCAATCCTCCCAATCTCAGCCTCCCAAGTAGCTTGAAATACAGTCATGAGCCATCATTGTCTGGCTTACTTACTTTTTATTGAGGTATAACATTATTGAGTGGGCTATTTTATATATACACCACTCAGATCAAGGTATGGGACATTTCTACCACTAAGAGGCTTCCTTCAACCCCCTAACCAGCCTATCTTTACTCCTACCTCACAAGTAACAAACCCAGAACCTTGTGCAAACACTAGGTGAGTGCTGTACCACTGAGCTGCATCCCCAACTGTAGAGTAGAGTTTGCCATTAATTTTTTGTGCAAGGTTTGCCCATTTTTGAGCATCGAATGAATGGAATCGTCCAGTATGTATTCTTTTGTGTTTGTTTTTTTTTTTTTTTTTTCAAGAAAAGCAGCTTTACTGGGCACCAGTGGCTCATGCCTATAATCCTAGCTACTTGGGAGGCTGGATCAAAGGATCAGTGTTAAAGGCCATCTGGGGCAAATAGTTGGAGAGACCCACCCCCCACCATCTCCAAAATAAGCAGAGCAAAAATGGACTGTAGGAGTGATTCAAGTGTTACAACACCTGCTTTGCAAGTGCAGAGCTCTGAATTCAAACCACAACTCCACCAAAAAAAAAAAAAAAAGCAGCTTTATTAGGAAAATGAAAACGACAGTTTGCTAACTTGAATGGTTAGGTAGTATAAGGAAAATTCCCTTTTTGATGTCCTCCAACTTTTAAGATGTGGACTGCATTTATATGCACCTTGTTCTTTCCTCAGGCCTAGAAAAAATAGCCACATATGTTTAAAGAAGTGATGGTTCTTCTCTTTCCCATGTGTAGAAATTCTGATGATTTTCCTCTGTTTTTGGTTTTTTTTTTTTTGAGATAACATCTCACTATGTAACTCAGGTTGGCCTCAGACTAGAGATCCTCCTGCTTTAGCCTCTCTAGTGCCAGGAATACAGGCCAGTTCTGGGATTACAGGCATGGGCAACCACACCCAGCTTGGGATTTCTCATTCAACATTAATTTTATGAGATTTATTGATACTTAGCATGCACTTGTAAATAGTTTCTTTTTGTGGTGCTGGGGTTTGAACTCTGGGCCTTGCACTTGATAGGCAGGCACTCTACCACATGAGCTATGCCTCCTGCCTAGGTTTTCTTGCTTCCTTCCTTCCTTTCTTTCTTTTTTTTTTTTGTAGTGCTGGGGAATCAAACCCAGGGCTTTTCGCATACTCGCAAATGCTCTGCCACTGAGCTACATCTCCAGTTCTCCAAGTTGGTTTTCATTATTGTACAGTATCGCATTGTATGACTACACCACAATTTATTTATTCACCCTATTATTATTTGGGTTGTTTCTAGTTTGGAATTTTTATGAATAAAGTTCCTATAAACATTTTATTGTTTCTATAAACATTTTTGGCAGCCCTGGAGTTTGAACTCAGGGCCTCACACTTGATAGGCAGGAGCTCTACCACTTGAGCTACTCTGCCAGCCCTTTTTTTGTGTTGGGTATTTTTGAAATAGGGTCTTGCTTTTTGTCCAGGCTGGCCTCAAACCTCCATCTACCTCCTAAATAGCTAGGATTACAGGTGTGAGCCACTTACACAGACCTTACACAGGTCTTTGGCAAACATATACACACTATTTCTCTTTGGGGAGGAGATCTTACCAGGGATGTGAACGTCCAGGTTAGAAAATGTAGTAAGGTAAAGGCAAATCCTGGCTTCTTACATGAGATCCAGAGATTTTTTGTTTTTGTTTTTGTTTTCCTCAGTGTTGGGGATTGATCCCAGGGCCTTGCTTATGTGAGGCAAATGCTCTGCCATTGTGAGCTACACTCCCAGCCCAAAAGACTGAAGTTCTATTCTGAGGTGCTGGGCTGTTCCAGAGATACCAACTGTCTGATTTAGCAAAGGATCAGGGAAAGACCTAGTTACCCTGGCAACCTGTGAGATTCTAATTCTTCAGCTTCTTTTTGCTAAGGTTTTGGGCCTCTCAGAAGGGGCAACAAATGAAGAAATACATCGGAGTTACCGAGAGCTAGTGAAGGTCTGGCACCCTGACCACAACCAGCACCAGACAGAGGAGGCCCAGAGGCACTTCCTGGAGATACAGGCTGCATATGAAGTCCTGAGTCAGCACAGGAAGCCCAGGGCTTCCAGAAGGTGAGAAGCAACTTCCCCCTGAAAGTGGACTCCTGAATGCACAGCAGGGCAGTGTATCCAAGTGTGGCTTTGCCCTTTTGGGACATTCCAACAGTGTTAAAGAAACTGTTTGCTGCAGAGATGAGGAAAATCTTAAAGGGGTGAGAAAGATAATGGTAGGAAATGTTCTGAATTCTTGGCTATTGTATTCTTGGCTTGATTTTCTAAAAACCAGAAAGTGAAAAGGATATTATAAAACACAATACCTTTCAAGGAATATACTACCTTATCTTACCCCTGGTACATTGATGTATGGTAGAGGAAGGTTATTTAACTTCTGTTTGCAGAGGTGGGGATTGAACACAGGGCCTTCATCTTGCTAGGTAAGGGTTCTACCAACTGAGGTACACCCCACCAGCCCAAATTTAACTTTTTTAAAAAATGTGTAAAACATTGGGTTAGGAGACTAAAGGAAGTTAGAAGGGTTCTAATGTTGCTCAAACTGTTCTGATTTGACTTTTTTTTTTTTTTTTTGCAGTATTGAGGTTTGAATTCAGGGCTTTTTATGCTTGCTAGGCAGGCATTCTATCACTGAGCCACTCCACCAGCTCTTTTTTGTGTTGGGCATTTTCGAGATGGGATCTCAAGAACTATTTGCCCAGGCTGGCTTCAAACTGATCCTCCTGATGTCTGCCTCCTGATTAGCTAGGATTATAGACATGGGCCACTGGTGCTCAGCTGATTTGACTTATTTTGTAGATTTCTATAGATTACCACTGGGTAAGGCTGGGGTTAAATTTCAAATTTTTCAAAAAATGTGTGTGGTTTTTTTAAATTTTTCTTTTTTTGGTGGTACTGGGGTTTGAACTTAGGGCCTCATGCTTTCTGGGAAAGCACTCTGCATTTGAGTCATGCCTCTGCATACCCTCCCACCCCAAATGTTTTAATTCTGTTTACAGGAGAACTTTCTAGAAGCTATGCCTTTCCCAAGAAGGAACAAGTTTGTGAGGCATGTGGGCAATTCGTCTGCTTGGAATGGTACTATAGAGAGGCCTCAAATATTTTTTTGTTGTTGTTTTGTTTTGGTGGGGTTTGAATTCACGGCTTCACTTGCAAAGCAGGCATTCTGCCAATTGAGCCACACCTCCAGTCAGAGCCCCTCAAACTTTACGAGCATGGGTTGTTGGAACTGGTTGAGTTCCCAGGTTTTGCCAATACTTGAGGTCTGATTCCAAGCTACATGGTCCACTTCCAGGAGCTTATAGTCTTTAGTCTTCTGGGAGGATAGTAACACAGGTACACAGATATGGAAGTCTACCTTGTTCAGTGTTTAAAACCAAGTGTGATAAGAGCCATAAGTGATATATTGGGATAATGGAAGCGAAACAGATGGCATTGTTTTATGGAAACAAAGATTCATGACTTTATATCTCATGTGTCTTTAAGGAGACATTGGGGAAACCCTGGAGAACCAGCAGCTTGAACATCTGGTGGGGGTGTGGTTATTTAATTCTACGTAACTAGCCAGATGTGGAAAAAGAGCCCAGAATGTTTCAGTGTGCAGAGGAAGACTGGAGAACATGGTGCTATAATTATGTATCTTTACTTGTAGTTTTCTTCCTCTTTCTGTGCATCAGTCACACTTTTTTTCTTTATTCTGGACATTACACTGAGTCATGCTCCAGCTCCCCCTCCAAATGTTTTAATTCAGTTTATAGGAGAGCTTTCTAGAACCTATACTTTTCCCAGGAAGGAACAAGTTGCTTCAGTGTGTGGGTTTCTCTGATTGGAGTAGTACTATAGAGAGCCCCTCAAACTTTTTTTTTTTTTTTTTTTGGTTGTACTGGGGATTGAGCTCAAGGCCTCAGACTTGCTAGGAGGCACTCTACCATTTGAGCCGCTTCAAAAGCTGGGGATGTAGTTCATGTGCTTAGTATACATGAGGCCCTGGGTTTGATCCCCAGCACTGAAGAAAAAGAAAAGAATTATAGTGATGAAATAGTACAGGGAATTTTACCTCCAAACATGGTACCCTGGTATGCCAATTAATTGAAATTAAAGGCTCTTGGAGACAGCAAAGGCTGAAAGAGGCTTCTTTACTTGCCCAAAGACCACCCTGCCAAAGAAGCAAACAGTTGACTTTGGTTCTTCCCCTGAGCTTTTTTGTTTTTGTTTTTTGATACAGGTCTGTCTCACTATGTAGCCCAGGCTGTCCTAGAACTCTAAATCCTCCTGCCTCTGCTTTGTATGTGCTAGGATTTAGGATCACAGGTGTGTCCACCCACACCCAATAACCTTGCTTGAGTTTTCATTAAATGAACTCGTATCTACAGGAGGATAAAGGAATGTAACCACACCTGGACAGATTTTGTCAAGCTATTGTCAGTGTCTTAGTTCCATTCAGTTCCCAAAGACAATAATTTGCTAACTATTATTTGAGTATTGGGCCCATTAATTCACCTAAAGTCATTTTCCACTCTTTAAATTGTCACATTCTTCACACAAGCCCCCTCACCCCATGAAGAAGGGCATATAAGCATCTGGACCTCATTGTGTTATTTGGGTAATCTCCTCTGTGCATGTTAATCAGTTTGTATATTTTTTTCTCCTTTAATCTACCTGTTGTCAGTATATTCGAACAAACCTCTGAACCTTCAGCTAGTATTCTCTACAGATTAAAATAAATTGTTGCCAGGGTAGGTGGTATGAGCCTGTAGTCCTTGTCATTGGGAGGCTGAGGTGGGAGGGTCCCTTACGCACTTGAGCCCAGCAGTTTGAGGCCAGCCAGGGCAAACAAACAAAAAAACAATTAGTTTCTTTTAGCATTCATACATAAAAATTTTTTAAAACTTTGCCAAAGAATTTACTTATATGCTATGATTTCAAGACCAAATTAACTTTCATACCTTTTTAAAACTGCCAAAAAATTGATGTGCATTTTCTTTGAACAACACTTATAATTTGTCAAGTCATCACAGGGAATTTTAATGGATCATTTTCATAGACTATTAACTAGTAATTTATTAACATGATTTGTAGCACTACATCTGTAAAATGTAAATATATTAAAACTAGTCTATAAGTAGAAAGGGCAAAGGGGTAATTAGGAGCTTTATTTGATTTGGAAAATTATTTTACAGCTATCAAATTTTATTATGAGTTTTTGTTAGAAAATATGGGAATAATTTTAATTTACTCAAATATAAACTATACATAAGTACTTCCTATTTTTCCAACATAAATGTTACAATAAATATCTGAATATATGTATGGATACTTCTTTTATTCGCTTGTTTTTGTTTTGCTTTGTTTGAGACAGGGTCTACCTATATAGCCCAGACTAGCCTGAACTCACAATCCTGTCCCTGTGTCCTGAGTGTTGGGATTACAGGCCTGGGCTACCACACCTGGCTTGCTTTTTGTGTTTTGGAATTAGATTCCAATAAGTAATAATGTAGGGTCAAACAATGAATATTTAAAATTTTTATTGATTCTGTGTGAGGCTACTTCTGGAAAAGGTTGGAACAATTTACACTTTTACCAGCAATATAGGAACATGGCCTTTTCTTTGTAACTGGCAAGGAATATTATCACTCTTAAATTTTTGTCAAGATGATGGGTGAGAAATAGTATTTAATTACTTTAATTTGCATTTCCCAGACTCTTCTTTTCAAATGTTTGACATTCACAAATTCTCTTCAGTGAACTGCTTACTTATATGTACTATCTATTTTTTACATTTTAAATCGTGTTCCTATTTGTCTGTATCTAATTTATTTTCTTGATCCTTGCTTGTAATATGTATTATAAATATTTTCTCCCATCTATGACTTGTCTTTAGTTAGAAAGACTGGTGTGAGGATTTAAATCTGGTTCTATGATTTTCTAGCTGTGTGATTTGAGATTCTTTACCCTTTCAGAGCCTTAGTTTTCTCTAAAATTGAAATGATAGTATCTATTGTTTTTTATTTTTTGTGGGACTGGGGTTTGAACTCAGGGCTTCATGCTTGCAAAGCAGGCGCTCTACTGCTTGAGTCATTTAGTTCTAAGATGTACATTTAAAGGGTTGCTGTGATAAAGAATATAGCATATGTAGAGTGAGCAAATATGTTTGATAGGTCTCTTCCCCCTTCCCAGCCTACGTAAGGAAATAAGGCTGTCTAGTGAGATAACTGCTATTGAATGGAGGGAGTTCTACCTGTGAGGCTAGAATTTTCCTGGAGTGTGTTAGTGTTGTGTTTTGTATTTAAAACAAAAATTCTAGCTGATGTCCTTGTACGTGCCTGTAATTCCAGCACTCAGAATGCCTGAAAGCTGAGGGGGACAACCAACAACATATAAACAAAAGAAACTGTAATTCCAGCACTCAGAATGCCTGAAAGCTGAGGGGGACAACCAACAACATATAAACAAAAGAAACAAAGAACATCGTAGCCCTTTTAGATATATATGGGGGAACAGGAAACCAGTGACTTGGTTTGGGTCTGGCAGTTCTTGGGCTATAGTTTAAAACTGGGCACTGGGCTAGTTGTGATAGAAAAGACTCAATATGAGACAACTTTAAGAATAAGGTGAATATAATGGGGAGGAGATAAAGACTGCTTTGAGCCTTTTCACCTCAAATTCTCCTTGCAGAACTCTCCGTTTATCCTTTGGAAGGTCATTTCAATTAGGGTTGCTATTCTCTGACATCTGAAATTCGAGTTCTAGGCAGAAAAGCAGATGCATTTATCATTTATGAGTTGTTATGAGGCATTTCTTTCTCAGTTCTGTGCCCACTGGTCACTTTAGTTCTGGCCCACCATCTGTGGATGGGTGTTAAGTTTTCCATAGGAGAGAATCTTGTGGGTGTAGGCAAGGGTACTTGGTGAGAAGTGAGGTGAAGCTGGTAGAAAAGACTGCTTGATTAAATGATGCTTGGATTTCTACTTCTTGTCCTGGCTTGTCAGCAGTTCCTGAAATTGAGTTCTTCCAGGACTATACCATCCACTGTCCTGAGGGTATATGTTTCCCTAAGAGCCAGTG